ATATGCGCATAAAAGTGCATAATTTACTTTTGTTGCATGCATAATCGATAGTTTATTGCAGCATAAAATCATCGTCCTTGCCCTAGCCATGGCAAAAAAAATTCGAGTCATATGATGATCTGTAGTAAATTAGCCAACGATTTCCAATTTAGTGTAATGTTACATGATCAGGAACAACTAAAGAAAATTAGAAGAAATCGCTTATTTCTCAACAAACTTCATAAGAAACAACTTTCTGCGCACTAACAAAAAATTCCAGGAAGGTAATTTTACCTATAGCACTCACTTACCCTAACCCTTATCCTAACCCTAATCTAAATGAACTTAAAGATTTTTATCGGTTATCACGTGACCCGAACTTTTTTGCCATGGCTAGGATATTTTATAAACAACCATAACACTACGTGATTGAATCACTCCGCTCCTGGTATACACTTCGTGATTTGCATCACTCCGTTTCTTCATGATTGTATCACTCCGTCCTGGTATATTATTAACGTCTGTAGATCAATCTGCCCCTAACGTGACCTAACACTAATCTAACATAACCCCTAACCTTAATGGATAAAAATCACGAGAGGTAAAATTTTTTGTGGGAGAGCTACCACACTTATATAATATTTAATTTTCCATAAATAAAAAATCGTCTACAGTTAATATCCTCTTGTTCAAAAAAGAGTTAAATTTTTAAACTTTTTATAATAGAGATATATGTCAAAATCACCTTTATTAAATCCCATCCATGGTGTTTTACACATTATCTCAATATTCGGCCAATTAATTAATTAATTATAGTGATTTACACAAATCTGTATGTATGTAGTAAACACAAGAAATACTGTGCCACCTAATTGAGCAATTTATTTGGTTAGTAATACAGTACGTACGACGCACTCCGCTTCACCACATTTCATTTAAAATTTTTATTTTTATACTAAATTTTACTCCGAGAATTTTTACTTAGAATTAATTATTAATACAAAAAATATTGTGACATGTAAGTCAGAAAAGAATCCAGCTACTGTTTTTTCCGGGTGAGGTTCAATATCTCGCGCCAAAAAACTAGAATCTTATTATTAATTAAGAGTAAGTACAGGAGAGCTTTAATATTAATATCTAAAATACAAGCCAATGGCATTGACTATAATGTATCCATAACGGATTGGTTTTAAAAATTCTAACAGTTTCTTCATCTTCATCGTGAATTAGCTTTTTACTCAAGTACATGCACGGTTCACATGATATGGTACCCGTCACCCAAACTTTATCTGCTACAAATAAATCATCTTTCGAGTTTTTTATTGGCATGACCACAAATGGGCCTCTCTGACGCGATGCTTTTTGCGACCATCCTGCAGCAGTATAACCGAATGAAGAACCATATGTAATCAACAAGTCATCGCATAGACTAAGTAACTTCATATCGATAAGAGCGCCTACTTCTGAACCAGTGTTAGCATTAATAAGATTTGGTGCATCCAAATCTTCTTCAGTATGAACTATCTTCACAGAGCTATTATTATTAGAATTATACACATCACGGAGTGAGTTTACTAAATTTTCGCGACCATAATTAGTATCTGCTGCCACAAAGATAGTTATATTCATGTTGTTCATTTTTATCAATAACATTTTCACTACTTGAATGTAATGATCTACAGGTGCCATCATACCAGCAAGTCTCTTTTTCTCCCTTAAATGAATTCCTATGGTATAATCGGTAAAAAAATTATTATTTGCAAAAGTTTCTACTCGTTTGTTAATATTTGGGTGTAAACTTAATAATTTTAGGCTTATTGCTGTAAAAACTCTATAATCAGGTATTATTTTATCAAACCATCTCTTATAATGAGGATTCGACGTTATTGGAGCACATGCGTAATCCCAAGTTTTGACATATAAAATATCTTTATCCTCGTTACTAAGGTTTCCTCTCGTCACCAATTGAAAGTCATTATAATCATTTTCATGATGTAAATGTCTAGAGGTACTATTCTCATATAAATTTGAGAGAATTTTCCAATCATGATCGAAATCTTTTACGTGATAATCAGAGAAATTATTATATCCTTCAATAAAAAATAGCCTATCAGTAATTAATGAATATAAAAAACTGCAAACTATTCCAGGGAAACGGTTTCCAAATCCGTTTATCATGTCTGGTTGATAAACAACAACTTTTGGGAGTTCTGATAAATTATATTTAGCAGACGAATTTAATAGTTTAGCAATTATTCTATTGTGTTTTTCAACATATTTATTATATACTATATCGAATTCTAAATGCTTCACTCCTTCATATTTTCTCTCATTATCTTTCGTTGCTTTCTCCACATTTTCTGCGTTTATGTTCTCCGCATTCTCCGACTCGATCATTATTGTGATAAATGCTAAACTAAAGAGGATGAACATCCAGAGAAGGATTAGCGTATATTTAACATATTGCATAGTGAAATTTATATAATGAGTGTCAGATAAAGTAAAAAAGATAAAGTAAAAAAGATAAAGTAAAAAAGATAAAGTAAAAAAGATAAGTAAATATATTTTTTGAATATACGAAGAACTATTAGATTCCTTCGTTTGTTTGAGATTTACACATATGTAATTCACTAGAGGTTATATTTGTATCCAGATTTAGGGGAAGAGATGCGTCTAAGAGTGAATAATTAATTAATTAATTAAAGGTTATGATAAGACTTTTAATAATTTGGGAAAAATTAAAAATGAATTACTTGAATTATTGAATAAAAATAGAGTTAAAATCAATTTGAATGGCTAAATATTGTATAGATTCTTCGCTTAGCTAAAATTACATATAAAATCAATATTTAAAATATAACGACATTGTAGAAGTTATCGCCTGAAAACCATTTGGATACCTAAAACCACTATTTATTCAGCAATTATAGCAGATCAGTATGGTATAGGCGAGCAGATCAGTATAGATCAAGATTAAAATCTTGCAAAAAAATTCTTTGCTAAGACAAAAAGCTTGTTTTCTAGTAACATTTTAAGATAGGACTTTTGAAATCTGTGCTGAGCTATGTTGATTTCTAAACCTAAAAGATATTGGATAATCAAAAATGGGATTACAGAAGATCGTACATATAATAATATGGACGACCAAAATAGTATGGTAAAGGATCTAAAATACTATATTATTTTAAAAATTATACCAAATAAATATATTATAATGATAATTTCTAAAACTAATATAGTAATATATGACATAGAATTAATATGATAAAAGGTACTGTACCTATTTTAAAAAATTATACCATACTATATATATGTAATATAACGATAGTTTCTAAGCCTAATACAGTACCTCATACTGTACGAATATGATCGCTACGCCATACTGATCTGTGTAAATTACAATATTCGACACATAGGCCATTCTTTTTTAGATGT